CATACATACATACATACATACATACATACATACATACATACATACATACATACATACATACATACATACATACATACATACATACATACATATGCATGCATATACATTGCATGTGCATGCATATATACATATATTTATATAAGTAAAGATAGACAGAAGATATATAGGACACATATACAAACAAAACAAAAGAATATTCATTTATGTTTAATGCTTTATTACCTATGATACAAATCGGTTTTCGTATGAATCGCAAACGTCCGCAGCATCCCATGTATTTTGATCTGCAACCAGCACTCCAAAGACGTACCAAGTATTCCACACCAAAGAACACCACCAAACATATTTCCTAATAAACATATAATATTAATACAATCGTTAATAATAATTATATTTTTATATACATATATCTATTGAATTAATTAATATTAAAATAATATATGTGTATTTTTTGTATAATAGTTAATTCATTTTTAATACAAAAGGTTTTACTGTTCAACGAATTTGTATTCTTTTTTGTTTGTTAATTTTTGACTTATGGTTAGATCACTTTCATTATTATAAGCATATATATATATATTGAATTAATTAATATCAGTATAGTATATATACATATTTTTTTATAATAATTAATTCATTTTTAATGCAATTTTTAATAAAAAAAAATTTTACTGTTCAATGAATTTATATTTTTTTTTAATTTTTTACTATGACCACTTTTATAATTATGGGAACACATACATATATGTATATTGAATAAATTAATTTCAAAATATTGTATATAAATTTTTTTAATAATAATTAATGCATCTTTAATACAAAAGATTTTACTGTTCAACAAATTTGTTAGATTTTTTATTATTTTAAAGAATAAATTTTTTTTTATTAGAAATGAAAGAAAAGGAAAAAAAAAAGAAACAAATTGTAAGATAATTAATAACAAAACTTTATGATAATAATTTTCGTGGCTAATTTTGTTTGTAATTACTTGATAGATATTTTTATAGATTTTTTACATAGTTTATGTCTTTTTTAGTTAAAGATGAATACAAAAAGATGAAAATGAAATAAAAAATAATGAAATGATTCTAATAACGAATAAAAAGAATAAACAGTGATTAAAGAAGAATTAAAAATGAGAAAAGAAAAATGAACAACAACAAAAATATGAAATAATAAATGATAATAATAACGAATGAAAATAATAAACAGTATATTATTATTATTTTTAGGATTACTTTGATAATAAATATTCTATCTTTCTGTATATAAAAAATATATGAATATAAGAAGTCATGATATAATATTATTAAATAAAAACGAAACATGTGAACAAAGAAATAAATAATAATAATGATAATAATAACGAATGAGTTATTATTCGAGAACAGTATATTATTATTATTATTTTTATAGGGTTACTTTTATCAAAAAAATATTCTATCATTATGTGTGTATAAAAGATATGAATATTAAGTGACGAGTTATGATATTTTACGCACTTAGTATATTTACAGTATTATCCTTTTTCTTTCATTAATCCCATTTTGTTCTTTTTACTTTTTTTAAATTTTTTATTATTATTATTATTATTATTTAATAGCATACATATAGTGATTATCGTATAGTGAAAGAGACATACGATGGGTTGGTGGTGGAATTTAAAAAGAGTTCGTTTTAAATAACGTTCTACCTCTGTCCATTAGCGGAGTTATTAAATTCGAATATGAAACCAGTGAGAATATATAAAATATATATGAGAAGATGATGATGATTATGATGATTATGATGATTATGATGATGATGATGATGATGATCCATCCATCCATCGTGGAAACTTCACTTTTTAAATATCCCAACTCAATTATAACACGGAGAGAGTCACATTTTTTTTAAAAATGTTGAGCATAACTTTATCTCTCTCTCTCTCTCTCTCTTTTCACTTTTTTAAAGTTAAAAAAAAATTAGGGAACATTTGTTTTTGTGCATAATAAAATTAACTCGGCTAAAAGTAAAAGTATACTAGTAGAGGATTTTATATGATTGAAAAAAATATAAAAGAAATAATAATAATTCTATTAATATGATTTATATAATGGATTAAATTAAAAGTATGATTAAATGATTATAAATAAAAAAAAAAAATTATTAAATAATATATAATATATAATGCTTACCATCCAAAATAGTGTCTCGTTTGCGAAGTTACTGTATTGATCTATCGTTGACAATACACTAAATATGAGGCACACCAACACCACCATGAACCTGAAACAAAATCATACGGTGTTTATTATTATTATTATTATTATTATTATTATTATTATTATTATTATTATTATTATTATTATTATTATTATTATTTTATTATATTTTAAATTTAATTTTAAAATAATTTTTTTAATTCATATATATTTATATATAAATTATACAATATATAATTATATTAATATATAACAAGTAATTATATATTTAAATATATTAATAATTTAAAGTAATATAATAAATAAATAATAAAATTAATTAATATATTTATTAATACATTTATTTATTATTTATTATAATAATTTGAATTTTAAAATTAATTTTAAAATAATTTTTTTTAATTTATATATATATATATATATATAGAATAGTGTATATAATTTTATATATTTAATTTTAAAATTAGTTTTAAAATTAATATAATCTTTTTTAAAATAAAAATATGAAAAGACACATATACACGCAAAGGTTGTTTAAGTTTACATGAAAATACTATGAAAATTATACCGAAACCACACGATATACTTGAGATCGTTTGAATAGTACATAGTTGAATTATAAATCGTTAAACGTAATCGTATATCGAAGCAGTTAAGGAAAGTGTGTTTCAATAGATGCAACCTACATATGTATACACATATGTATTTTGTACACATATATATATATATGCATATATGTATATGCATGTATGCATACATGGCAGGATAGTCGCAATTTACATATATCCAATTTGTATAATTGAACGTTCCATGGTAGTAAGTTGCACATGCGATCTGTTTAAAATTATGTATATGTATGTATTATGTATTTGTATGTGTGTATGTATGTGTATGACTATATCCAATATGACAATGTTACTTGTGTTTCACGAAGTACTGGTATAAGTAAGAATAATAGTCATCGAATCTATTCTATCTTTGGTGTCTTTTGTTTATTGGAGAATATTACGTGTAAGTATAATAGTTTAGTATAAGTAAGTGGATACATCATTAACGCTAGAATTACCTATAATTAATAGAGATATCTATTTTCTAATCTAATACTTATCTAATACCGGTAATAGTGTAATATAAGATAATAGTTATTATGGTTTATAATGGAATATCTCTTAGATAAGATAAATTTATGTTTATTATTTATATCATTTGTTTTTTATTTTCTAATATTGTTTTTCTTCTATTTTTTTTTTTTATTGAATATCACTTGAGATTAAATTTGTTAATTAAGATTTATATTTGATGATTATAAAATATAGATTAATTGTAGGATATTATATAGAAGTTCATACTGTTGATTTAAAATACTAATTTATTAATTAGTTAAATATTAAATGATATGGTAAATTGAATAATAATAAATTACAATAATTATATGAACTTTATACAAATTAATTTGATATTCAAAATATTATATCTGCAGTGTCATTACAGTTTATCAAATTTTCAATGAAAAATAATGAAACGAGGAAAGTTATTCTAATTAAAATATACAATAATATTAGCAATTATTACACCTTATCATCTACGAATATTTGATGATTCATATAATAATAATATTTTATTTCATATATGATTTATGATTCATGATTCATATAATTCATATTCATAGAATATTTGATTCATATATTATTTGATTGATGAAATACAGATTATTTTTATTAATTATTTAAAAAATAAATAATATGGTAAATTGAATAATATTAAAATAAAATAATTAGATAATTATAGAATATTATATTAATTATGTATTAATTATTATATTACTATTATAATATTAATATTTATATTATATTATTATTATAATAATATTAAATATTATATAACTATAGAATAATATTAAACAAATTTAATTTAGTATTTTAAATGATATACCTACTGTGTGACTACAGTTTATCATATTTTCAATCAAAAAAATCTATCGAAAATAATCACACAAAAAAAAATATATATATATATATATATATTTCAACTGAATATAATTTAAAAAATGTTTACACGAGATATCACCTACGAAAAAAAAAAAAATCATCTATAAATATTAATATAAATTTACATCATTATTTTTATCATTATTTTTATGTATACTATTCACCATGTTGAAATTCTATATATTTAAGTACAATTTAAGTATACCCTTACATCCCTTGGACGAGTTTTAAAAAGCCATTACCTTGCTGGAAAAAAGAAAAAACAGAAAAAAAAAGAAAAACAAATAAAAAATAAAAACATAAAAATAAAGCAAGCAAACGGTGTTAGTTCGAACTTATCGATTACTTTTCCCTAGATATATCGCTTAATGTAATTTAACGTTTGTATTTTAGCTGGTAGTAAAATGGTTACAACCAACCACCAAACNAAGGATTTAAATAGAATTTCTAATGAATAATAAAATAAAAAAAAGATTATTTAGAAATTATTTCAGGGAAAATGAAGAAGAAAAAATAAAACATTATCATATTCACGTTAGTATATACATACGAGTATTGTCTATATTGATCAAGGTTAAAAACGTTTCACGTGTACACACATGTCTTATAGAATAAAAAAAAAAAAAAAGAAACATAATAATAATCTCTTTTTTTAACTTGCTAGGAAAGAAAAGATACATAGTTTGGATAAAAAAAAAAAAAAGAAAATAGTTCAACAATAATGCTTTTACATACCCCATTCATACTTATGCATATCTATAGAAATATGCATGCATGATATACATGTGTATATGTGTGTGTGTGTGTGTGGGGGGGGGGAGGGGTGTGTATTTTTCTTTAACGTGAATACGCGTTGACGATAAAGATAGTGTGTGTTTTAATGCCGCAAGCAGCAGAAAGTTTACTTTTGGAAAGGCCGTAACAGCTAGAAAAGCTAGAAATGCATAACGATGCATATAGATGTATAGGTGTGTGTATATATATAGATATATAGGTATAGTTATACTGTTATTTTTACGCTAAAGAGAAACTGTCAAACAAGAGGACGACGTGACGGAAGGATAACAATAACTTTGCTCTAGAAAATGATGAAAGAGAAAGAGAAAGAAAGTAAACGAGTTTGAGTGAATGAGAATGTGTAAGGTGTTAAAGTTAACGCTAAATTATTGATTGGTTTATGAACATTTTATAATTTTAATAAGTATATATATATATATTATAAACTATTATATGTAAAACAACTATGTATGAAATAATGGTTATACGATCAAATTCATATGTGTGTATAAAAGTAAATAAAATGAATCATACAAATATTGTAATCTGATGACCTATGAACAAACAGAATCGATTAATCAGCTATTTTATGAAAAAAAGAAAAGAAAAAACAAATTATATCATGTTAATCTGTCTTGTAGATCAATTAAGTCAATTTAGTATATAATAGTAAAATAAAATAAAATAATATACAATACTATATTTAGTAATAATTACAGAAAATAATAAATAATATTATTATGAATATAATACAGTACTATTTAGAAATTATAAATACAATACTAATTAGAAATAATTAAAAAAATTAATTGCATACTGTCTAAAAATAATGAAAAATAATCACAAATAAAGTACAATACTATTTAAGAAATAATTTAGGAAATTTTTTATTACTATTATAAATATAATACAATACTATTTAGAATAATATAAATTATATACAATTCTACTTAGAAATTATAAATACAATATTATTTACAACTAATTATTATAAAAAAATTATTTAAAAAACATATATATATATATATATATATAGAAAAATCAAACGATTAATCTTAAAAATAATTTACTACTTCAAAAAAAAAACACACACACACACACAATTATTTAACCAAGCTAGAAAAATATAATTTTTTAATTTTATTAGTAACTTTTAGTGTACGTAAATTCCATTTGTCCCACCCCTTACCCTAACTTTCATGCTACAAAATTGACAAGAACAAGAATAAAAAAAAAAATAAAATAAAATAAAAGAATGAAAAATTCAAATTCAAATTTCAATTCAAATTAAAATTCAAAATTCCGTTCTGAAGAAGATACGAAAAGAAAAATTTTGCAGGATGGGCGAATATTGTTGGGTACGGAAAGTGGTTGAAATTGAGGTGGGGTGTAGGGTGATTAAAGTTATGAAGAATGAAGAGAAACGTTTAATTAGTGTCGTAGATATTCATATACGATGAATTCCTAGAGTCACATCTTAGTTGAGTAATTTATTATCGAATGTTAGCTCGTTAAATAACGTTAGGTGTACACCTGGCGTTAACGAAGGGTGGTTATACCGTGAAATACACTTTAAGATGGCGTGCCAAAGGCCTATAATTCCAATATACAATCTCCGGTTCTTACCATGGAACACTCGGGTCACCTTCATCGACCTACTATGATAATTGCCTACATCTTTACTTTTATTTTTTTTATTTAATTTCTTTTCTTTTTTTTTTTTTTTGTAACATTTTCATTGGTAATACCAGTGAGAATTGGAGCCAGAGGCAAGCAAGTTCTTTTAGTTTGTTGGAAAAATAATAATGTCATCGTTAAAGGAAACATCGATTAGGTTTCTCCCGTGTTCAAGGACGATTTCATGAAAATGACAATTTAATGAGCTATACTTTTCCATTTGTTTGTTTTTTCTTTTTTTTTTTTTCTTTTTTGTGTAGTTATCATCTTCTACGTTTTATTTCTATTCATTTGTGTAGCCTTGTTTATTTTATTATATATTTTTTTTTTTTATAATTATTGATTGTAATTAGATGAAAAAGGATTGGTAATATGATTCTTCTCAATTACTTTTTTAATTTTTTTTTAATATTATTTATAATTTTTGTTTTTGTATACCTTTCTATTTTCTTCTTATTATTTTTATCATAATTTTTTTAAGTAATTAAGATAAGAAAAGGTTTGGTCACGTTACACTTTATAATTTATTAACAAAAGTATTTCTCTTTCATATTTTGTTCTCATTTTCTTTCTTCTTCTTCTTCTTTTTATTATTATTATTATTATTATTATTATTATATAA